CTGGCCTCAAACTCACAATGATCCTCCTGCCTCGTCCTCCTCAGTGCTGGGATTACAGGTATGTGCCACCACGCCCGGCTCTGATGGCTGGTTTTCAATAGTTTTTTTGTTTCCGTTTCCAAAAAATTGGTGCCACAGCATTGAATTTTATACCCACTGGGCAGAAAACCTGGTTGTCCATACTCCAAAGTATGATGGGAAATCCAAGAGTCAAGACACAATTCCCAGAGGTTTGGTCACCTCCTCCCTGTTCTCCACTGCACCTCCCCAAACTAATCACCCACCACCTGCTGCTCAGAGGCCTCACCTTAAACCCCACAGCGCCCCCTTCCTCTCCTGCCCCCAGCCCAGTCCAGGGCTCGCACTGCCAGGGGGAGACAAGGGCCCCAGCCTCCCAGCCCCATCTCTCTGTGCCCTCCATCCCTGCGCCTTCCTATGGTCTCCTTTACCCACCTCAGCTCCAGGACCCCAGCAGGTCTCGTCCACTGGGCGTCCTCCCCCGGTGCCTGTGGCTGTGGAGCATGCCGCAGACCAGCTGGGGCGTGCGCCCTGGTCTCGTGTTGGGAGCTTGTGCTCATTGTGGTAATGTTAAGAGGTGGGGCCCGAGTGAGGCACTTAGGTCACTGGAGGTGTGACATGGGATGGGATGGAGGTTCTTGGGGAGCTGGAGTTAGTTCCCGTGAGAGCAAGTTGCTATAAAACACTCCCCAATCACCTCTCTGGCTTCCTGTTTTTTGTTTTTTTTTTTTTTTTTGGTTTTGGTTTTTTCCTCCGGTACCGGGAACCGAACTCACGACCTTGCACTTGCCAGGCAGGCGCTTTTGCCGCTGAGCTAAATCCCCAGCCCTGGCTTCCTGTTTTATGATGTGACTCTGCCCTCTGCCGTGAGCTACCACACTGTGATGCCACCTGCAAGATGACCCTTAGCAGGGGAGAGCCAATGCTGGCACCATGCCCGTGAGCCTCCAGAACCGCAAGCTGAGCAAACTTTTGTTTTTTTTGGTCTTTTTGAGACAGGGTCTCGCTATGCAGTTCAGGCTGGCCTTGAGCTCACTTTGTAGCCAGTAGGCTACAAAGGCTGGTCTCAAACTCACAACGATCCTCCTGCCTCAGCCTCCCAAGTGCTGGAATTACAGGCGTGCGCCACCATGCCTGGCAGTAAACTCCTTCTTATAGCCTGCCTTGGGCAGTGCATGACAGTGATGGAAAATTATTACACAATACCCAGTATTTTTTGAATAAAAGGATGAATGTATGAAAGAGGAAAGGGGTAAGGGAGTAGATCAAGGGAGTGCATGGATAAAATTAGACAGGAGGCAGATGGACAGGTGGCTAAGTGGAAGAGTGGAGGGCTGGGTGTATGTATGAGTCTGCACAGATGAATGAACGGGAGGACGGATGATAAAAGATTAGCGGGATGCATGATGGATGGGTAGGATAGAGGGATGGATGGGTGGATGAAAGGACTGGGGGGGCCGATGGATCGACAAAACAGAAGACTAAATGGATATGAACATCTGCGTTACAGTACGAATGAACAGGTCAGAAAGTTGTGGTTGTTGAGGTGGGGCTCTTACCACACTGCCCAAGCTGGCCTCCAACTCTTAGGTTCAAGCGATTCTCCCGCCCCAGCCTCCCAAGTGGCCTGGACCATAAGCCTGCTCTTCCATGCCCAGAGAAGTTGGAATAAATGAATGAAAGATTGAATGGTCAAAAAAATGACTTGTTACTAAAGCACAGTGGGACCAGGAGGGTCTTCGTGAGGGCCCAGCTCGCCAAGAGCTGGGGTCTTCATCCACAAGCCCGGCAGCTGCTGAGAGGGCGGAGGAGGAGCTTCACATTATCTGGGGGCTGCCTGAACTAGTCAGCACTGCGGAAGGGGCGGGAGGCGCGGGGATGCACATTCCAGGGATTTTTCTAGATTCTCATCTGTGATTAAACAGCAGGCCTTGACTCACATTGCTTCGTTTCTATATCAAACTGCAGGCTGCAAGTTCTGGAAAACAATATGAATGGCTATTAGATCTTACTCACGCCTTCTGCCTGCCCCTTCATGCCAGGCTGCTACCAGGTCCTGGGGACACAGCTGTGAGCAGAGGGTGGGAGCCCAGGAGTGCTCACGATCTGCAGGGAAGGGGTGGAGACCCTGCACATGGAACACAGGTCCCCTCAGGGAGGAACGGGTGCAGGCAACAGGTGACGTGGTGCCAGGGCGGTGGGCAGCGAGGAAGTGCCTCACTGGAGAGCCCCTGCGGCCTCCAGATGATAAGAGAAGACAGCTGTGTACCAGGAGGACAGCGCTCCAGGCCATGGGAGTGCCAGGGACCACAGCGCTCGGCCTCAGCCGGAACGAGAGGGGAGAGGAGGTGGCACGCAGGGATGGTGGACAGGGAGGGCAGGGTCAGCTGAGTGGCCACGGCAAAGCAGCCACTGTTGTTATTTAAGATCATGGCTTTGTTAAGTTCCAACCATGGGACAGACTCCGTGAGCGGCTAAGGGGGTAGGCATGTGTTAATGATTGTGAAAAGGGATCAAGCTTTCAAATCTCCATTCTTGGTGAATTCCTAGCATTTTCCCCAGCTGTGGCATCCGTGCTGAACAGGTCAGATTTCCCCAGTCAGAAGCAGACACAGGCCCCTGCCCTCCCCCTCGGCAGTGAGGTCTGTCCAGGCACCCACCTCACATGGGTGAACGCTCAAGGGGCCTTGCCTTGAGCTGGGCCAGAAAGAGACCACAGATACAAGTGTGGCAGAAATGGTCATCACTTTTTTTAAAGACAGGATCTCATTACGTTCAGGTTGGTCCTGAGCTCACTATGTGGCTCAGGCCGGCCTGGAACTCAAGGTAATCCTCCTGCCTCAGCCTCCTGAGAACTGGAATTGGAGGTGTGCACCACCACACCCGGCTCCAGTGTTGTTTCCTGGGGGGATCCGTGGTCAGTGCAGAGCCCTGGGCCCTGGTACTGCATTTCTGGTGTAATCTTTGTGCAGGAGCCGTGTGCACCCGTGTAGTCTCGCAGAAGAAACCCTTGTGATCCACACACTGTGGGAGGATGCAGCAAAGGACACAGCCACCTGTGGTGGGGCTGTTCAGGAGCCCTATACCAGGGGCTCTCAACAGCACTCTGGGGGCAGGTGGCAGTGTGTGTGTGTGTGTGTGTGTGTGTGTAGGGCTGTGCCGCGCCTGTCCATGCCGATTAGCACATTGACACTGGACGCTCGGTGGCGCGCTCGCCTGACCTGTGGTAGCCAAGCATCCCCAGACTCTGCCAGATGCCCCCTGCGGGGCCCCGAGTTAGACAAACACAGAGCTGTGATTCGAACCAAGCACTGGGACAAAAACGACAGCATGGTGGGAGAGGAGGGGCTGGGGAAGCGCCTGCTCAGGACAAGGGCCGCCCTGCCACAACTTTGGGGACATGAACTGATTTTTGACCCAATCTCCTGCCCAGTCTGCTGGCGCTGCTGGGCATCTGAACAGGCACAGCCCTGCTGCAGAGCAGCCCGCGAGCACGGGCAGAGGCTAATCGTGAGCCCAGACACACGTGCCCCACGGCCAGCTGTGCAGCAGCGCTGTTTGTACAACCACCTCTGGATGCTGAGCGATGCCCGCTGCTGGCTGTGCAGCCCCCTCCGTTCACGCTAGCGGGGATGAGGTCCCCTCAGCAGCCTTCCAGGCGGGGTTCCAGGACCCCGGGCCCCGATGTCGGAGGCCGCTCAGTCTGTATAAAAGGGAGCAGCGCCACCCCTTCCCGCAACCCTAGGTCACATGTGGACTCCCATGCAAGGAGCATGCTGAGGGACAGCTGCTGCGCTGCGCTGTCCAGGGAACAGGAAGGACAATGTCCGCATTCAATACAGAGGCAATTTTTAAAAGGATTTCTGATCCATGCTTGTTCGCGTCTATGGCTGCAGACTCCTCAGCTAGAAAGGCCAGACACAGCCTCACAGCCGACCTGTACTGACCAGGGAAGTGCGGAGTGGTGGGAGAGCACAGTGTGGCGTGGGACACAGAGGCAGTGGTGTCCGTGTGAGGTGGGGACAGAGGGACAGGAATGGACAAGCACCAGAGGGGACAGAAGTGGACGCAGAGAGAAGCAAACACCCTGATGCTGTTTGTGAGGCCTTCCCTGTGACAAAGACCCGGGCTCCTAACCAAGTGAGGTGGCAACGCCTGTAATCCCAGTACTCGGGAGGCTGAGGCAGGAGGATCACTGAGAGTTTGAGACCAGCCTGGCTACAAAGTGAGCACAAGGCCAGCCTGAACTGCATAGGGAGACCTTGTCTCAAAAAGACACACACACACACACACACACACACACACACACACACACACACAAAGACCCAGGCTCCAGCTCTCCACACAGCCAGGCTGAGCTGTGTTGCAGGCTTCCTGCCCAAACTGGACAGCACAATCCCAGGGAGCTGGCTGGCACTGTGGCCTGGCTCCTCCCAGCCCGGGCAGGGACAGCAGCGGGCGGGGCAAAGGGGTGTGAAGACTCCCAAACCTGCCTCACCTGGGTTTGGCCTAGGGCACCATCTGGAGGCTGAGGGGGTCATAGGCTGACACCTGCAGATCCTGCAGCAGGGCTTCTAGACCGTTCCTCAGCATGGCGTAGGGCGGCTTCTCCTCATACTTGAGGGCCATCACCACCTTCAGGTACTGCTGCAGGGCCTCTGGGGAAAAGACACCCCCAGCACGGAGGACGGTAAGAGGAACCTCCGGTCCGGGGTCTGGGGGCTGTGCCAGAGGGGCTGGGACGGGGACACACAAGGCCTGGGGTGTCACTGGCAGTGCTCATCTGCCCAGCGCTGCTTCCTCTCTGCTGCTCTGCTAGAGATGCTCACACGCTACCCGACATTTGCAACACATCAGCAAAGCAGCAGAACAGCGCCACTCAGAGGGTGCGAGTTCCTGGATGTTGGTCCCTGAGCCACCTCCTGGCTGGTCCCTTCAAATCTCAGAAGAACCAGCAGTGGCTGTCAACATTTTTGGAGAGCTACAGGGGATTGACGCTTGAGCAGCTGAGTCATGATTTGAACTGATTTCAAATACCTGTACTTTGAGAACAAGCTCTCAGGGAGCTAGAGGGACCACATTATCCCTTTCCTGTTCTGTCTCCAGGAAAGGGCCACAAACACTGCCTCCCAGGAGGGGTCAGGAGGAGACGGAACTTCCACTCTATGTTACACATCCCCGTTGCATTTAAGTGACTTTACAAGCAAATATTATCTGGCTGTTTAAACCAGAATGCAGTAAAAAAGTATGAAGGACTATAGAGTTTATGATGCCCACAGGATGAACACAATCTGTTTCTCGGTAAGGAATTAGCACCTTACAGTGGACTGCAGCACCACATACAGACAGACCTTAGCTTTAAAATGTTTTAAAGCAGACCTAAATGAACATAAAATATAAGCTGAATCACCTCTCACAAAGTTTCCTTAGTTCCTTAACTCCTTCAAAGCACTCATACTTTTGTCCATTCTTTTCAGTGTTTTTGTTTTTGGAGACAGGGCCTCTTTATGAAGTCCAGGATGGCTCTGAACTCACTGTGTAGCCCAGGCTGGCCTCCAACTCGTGGCCATCCTCCTGTCTCAGCCTCCCTAGAGCTGGGCTTGCAGGTGTGTGCCACCACACCTGAATTAATGTTTTTAAGCTGTTCTTGACTCACTAAATCAGTTTTATGAATGACTAATAAGCCATGATCACAGAGTTTAAAATACTGAGCTGGGGATGTAGCTCAGTACTACAGCATGTGCTTAGCATGTGCAAGACCCTGGATTCAACTCCCAGCATCAAAAAAAAAAAAAAAAAAAACAAACCCCAAAAAAACAAACAAAAATAACCTGACATTTTGTGTATTTTCCTACAATTTAAAAAATACTAATGTTCTGTTTGTTAATATGTTTTCTTTCTTTTATTTTTAAAATAAACCTTAAAAAATACTAATGAAATTCTACTCATACCAACATAGGACATCTCTACGATAGTTTTCTCTGACGAGACAAACAAAAACAGAAAAAAGCAGGCATTTTAGCTCACGCCTGCGTTCCAGTTACGTGTGGGGCTGAGACAGGAGGATCTTGAGTTTGAGGAGGCCAGATTGAGCAACTCAGAAAGGCTGTGTCTCAAAAAAAGAAAGAAAAGAAGGGCAAGTTGCAGACCAGTATGTATAAATTTGATTCCATGTGTACTGTTGTTGTGTACTTGCTATTGTTCAGAGGTTTATGAAGTTTTTTGAAGAGTTTTCTCTTTCTTACACTGGGCTCATATTATACATGTAATCTGCTGGGACCCGCTCAGGGCTCACCTGTCCCCTCTCCCTTCAAGACGTACCTGAGGACCTGTTGCAGTGACCGTACAGTCCCACGAGTAGCTCTGGGTTGTCAAGATACCTGAAGGGACAGAAGCGCGTCACGGAGGGAAAGGAGAGTAGCGTTTTTCTTTTGGGGGTTCCTGAGGAATCAGGGTATGAGGAGTGAACACAGGGCCCTTGCACTGAGCTATGTTCCCAGTCTTTATATTTCTTCTTTTGAAGTAAGTGTTCAGGACGTTGCTAAGTCATCCAGGCTGGGCTCAAACTTGTGGTCCCCTTGCTCAGCCTCTCAGAATGCTGGGGTTACGGGCACGCGCCACCACGCATTGCCAGGAGCACAATTGCTCATATGGACTCTCCTACAGATACACGGTCAGGTCTTCTGACTCATGGCCAGTTATGTTCTGCAGATTTGCTGTAAATGCTGGGGACACAGCTCGGTGACAAAGAACTTACCCACCATGTGGGAGGCCATGGTGGGTTTGATCCCCAGCACAATCAATCAATCAATCAATCAATGGAAAGGAAAAGATCTGCTGTGGCCACCAAATCATCCAATCTAGAACCACTGTTCTTGGAGGAAACACCATGGGGTTCCCGCCAGTCTCTGGCCATGACGCCACCATCGACAATCAGTACACAACCTTGGTTTTTTTTATGGCACCGGGGAGTCAAACCAGGGCCTCGTGCCTGCTGAGCCTGTGCTCTACCACTGAGCTGCAGCCTCAGCCCTGTTACCTTGCTTTATGTGTATTTCTATTGGGAGACCCCTTACTTCATAAACGCTGTTGATTCATTAACACCCATTGGCACTCTGCAAAGGGTGTGCTTATCAGAATGCCTGCGGGAACTGAACTTTGTCTTATGTCTATTCATTCATTCCATCATGTCTAAAAACCATTCAAATATCGGTGGAATGAGTGGATAAATCCTACGCTCCAGTCACATGTCCTAGAAGAACAAACTTCAGGGGCCAGGAAATGTGCATGTTGCAACACGGTCACCTTGGGTCCCTTTGGTCACATCATCAACTAGATGACACTGAATGAATGAATGGATAGAGTCCAAATGTGTGCTGCCCTGTCTGCCTAGAAATCACACCTCCTCCCCGCCTGGGAGGCCCGGTGCTCTCTACAGATGGGGACCAGGCACCTCCTGGCGGCACCTTCCAGCAGCCAGGAAGATGCTTTAGTTTTCCATTCATCCACAGTTGCTTATTCACTGTGATGGAACGAATGGGTAATACAAACAGGAGGCAGCACCTCCCAGCAGCCTGTGATAGGGGCACGTGCCTCCCTCTGCTCCCACTGTCCCACGGTCTCCTCCCAGCCTAAGAACCCAGCAGACCTATCGGGCTCATGTCCACTAAGAGCACCGCATGCACGCTCTGTTGCTGGGGGAAAGTGTCGGCACAGCTCGGACCCCAAGAAGGATGCATACATGTTGAAGAGGGTCCAGGCTTTCCACCACCCTCAAGAGAGAGGCAGCCATCTACCTTGATTAAGCTGCAGTGTCCTGGGGTGCCCTGTGGGAGAGGCTTGTCCCTGACCAACCCAACACTCGTGCTGTAGAAGAGCTTCACCAGCTCAGTCACACACGATGCTTCCACCTTCACACGCTCACCCCACCCATGCTAACCCTGGGGCTCACGGTTTCCACCCGGCATCATCGCCAAAGGGCCTTGCTCTCACCGCTGTGAGCAGAAAACCAGCACCATCTGTCATAATTCAAAACTAACTGTAAAAATAAGTTTCAAGAACTCACAGCAATGGCCTCATATTCTATCTGGCTCTGAGACCAGCTTCTGATCAAGGCTTCCTGGGTAACTGGGAGCTGAAGGTTCCCTCTCCCCTTGCCTCCCCGTTTTCTGCAGCATCTCAGTGCCAAACTGGGATGTCCCCATCACTATGTAAAGCCTCCTGCCCTTCAGGAGCTGATTCCCACCACGGCGGCTGCTGGCTCCATCCTGGACATTACGGCACTCCAGTCACACCGCTTGTCTCCCAGTCACACTTCTGTCCCTTATTCCTGTGTCCCCAGTGCCTGAGACGGGGCCTGGCACAGGAAAGTGCTTGGTGTTTGTTGGGTGGAGGCAGGCTGTCCACTCAGAGAAGCCTCCCACACCTGGGAAGGGGCACCGAGGCGAGCGGGGCTGTCTCTGAGGCCGAATGCCTGGACCTGAGCCAGGTTTCTTCTTAGTGGCTGTGTGGCCTGGGCTGCTGGCCTAGGCTCTGTGCTCCGAGTACAACAGCGCTCTCCTCAGTATGGTTCCGAGGATGGCACAGGGAAATGTGGAGGCAGTGCCAGGCACAGACAAGTATGGGACAAACGGTGGCCCTGAGCAGGTCGTAGCCGAGAGCAGGCCAGTGTGACAGGACACACCTTTCCTGTGAGCACCGACAGCAGGAGAGCTGAGGCAGTGGTGGGGGTGGGGAATGGCCCGCAGGGGAGGATGAAGTTCAGGGATGGAAGCGTTTATGCCAACCACGCACACACCCAACAACAGCACACAATACTCAGGGACAGACACATCTAAGCGAAGAAGTCTCAGAGAAGTACTCAGAAATAGTAAACTAACAACGTAGCTAAAGTTTAAAAACACAACACTGGGTGAAAGAAATAGAGAAACAGAATGAGATTTAGAGCATACAGTAGTTTCCCCTTATCAGTGGCTTTGTTTTCTGTGATCAGTAAGAAAAAGGATGAGTATAGAATACAAGCGGGGGCGGGGGGAGTCTTTACTCATGTTTTATTGCAGTATATTGTTATAACTGTTCTATTTTAATACTAGTTATTGTTGATCTCATTCCATACCTAACTTATAAGCTAAACTTTATCATAGGCATCTATGTACAGGAAGAAACACTGTATTACCATTTGTACAAGGCAAACCACACGGGACTATCACACACTATTCAAGGACGCAGGCACGTTTATATAAACGACTTAGAAACAGGAGTTAGAAACAGCGGAGTCAGTAATGTACAAGACGCAGTGGAAGGTGAGAAACACAGAACTGAGTGAAAAGAGCCAGAAACGGAGGTTCACGGCAGAGCAACATTTATGCGAAAAACACAGTAGGACTACTACACGATTTTAGGGTACAAATGCGGCTAAACCAACATCAGGAAAGTATATATTAAGTGTGTTTGAGTGGCTTCCCATCGTTGATAGAAAAGAACTGGGAGGTACAGAGGAAGTAAAATAAAACAGGAGTTAGGTTCACCAGGAACAAGGGACCCAGCACTCTGAGAACCGGGAAGTTCAACAGTCTTGATGCCATCCACTGGACAGTTCACCCTCTTCCTACTGTGTGCACCTTCCTGGGGCTCCAGCGGACGACTGTGAGACAGCCCCAGGGTCTGAGAGTCTGGACTTCACTCCCTTAGACGCAGACAGCCAATCACGTCCTTGGAAACCCCACCTTGATGATTCTGGGGCAATATCATCCTCTAAGTCTGCCCTAGATCCTAACAGCTGGGGACCCTCGGGGTTTCCCTGTGGACAAATGCTGCTGTCCTTGTTGCTGGACCAACACCACAGTACAGTGCTGCCCATTACGCCCGGGTGTTGAATCCCACACCCCAGCACCCTAAGGCTCTCCGCTGTCCTCGGTACTGAATAGGAGAGCCCCCAAGCGCCTGCTGCTGTCCATGGTGCTGAACCCTATGCCGCACGCTGTCCGTGGTTCTGAATTCTGGAACTACAACTAGTGAGACTGGGAGGTTTTACAAGCAGCGGCAAAGGCACAGAGAGTGGCGGCAAGGCCACTGGGCGGTTGGTGATGCTGGATGCTTAGGCAAGGCCTGGGCCTAACCTGCTCAGGTTGCCTGTACGTCCATGAATGAATGAATCATGGTGTCCTGTACGAGAAACTCATAACCCCTGTGCTAAGAGCTATAGCTGTGTCTGACTCCCCTGAATCCTTCCATAGCTTTGTGACATGGGTGCTAACTGCACATAATACCAAGAAAAAGACACTAAGGATCACAGCAGTCAAGCTGCTTACCCAACAGCCCATAGTCGTGGGGCCTGAACCCAACCCCAGGTGGCACGGCTCAGGAGCCCAGGCCCCCTTGCTGGCTGGAATGGAGGGAAGAGTAGACGCCTGAGGTTGCAGAGAACTCTGGCTCTGGGGATGCTAGCTCTCTTCCTTCCTGCTTATTAGAATCTAAGCTCCTCCCCCACCTGCAGGGATGTCGGGCAGTGCTGGGTTCTGCTGGCCCCGCGACTCACTTCTGCTTTTGCTTCATGATCTCCTCGGTGTTGGGAAGGCACTTTGTCCACGGCAGGGACCCGTAAAGCCACTTCAGCATACAGTAGCCAAGGGACTGGAGGTCACTGCGGCGGGAAGGCCCTGGGGAGGGAGAGGGAGGGGCAGAGCTCAGTCTGGATGCTCCACTCTGACGTGTCCTTGCCTACCCCTTTTCTTGCCCTTTATTCCTCTTTCCCTCCCTCCCCCTCTTCTTTCTCTCAACTGTGCAAGCTTACATGCACCTTCCAGCCATGCAGGCCATCTCATTCATCTATCCATTCACTCCTCAGTCGTCCTTAGGCTCTAATCTCACTCTCACTCTCTCCGTGACTCGCTCACTCCACCATCTTTACTCTCTCACTAGCCCGTTCCCTATCTGCTCATCTTTCATTCATGCACTCATTCACTGAGTCCTCAGCACCATTTGCAGGCCCCATTTCATACGCTGAAAACCCACACAGGAAGTGGGTTGGGTCTCAGCCCTGAACAGTTCAGTAGGAGCTAATAATAGCATAGCCATCAAGCTATAACAGAAACTGAATACAAAGGAGCCCGGGAAGATAGGTACTGCATCCAGCCTCAGAGAGGAGAGAAGAATGCGAGGCTCCATCCTCCCTCTGCCTCCCAACTCTCATAATTCAGACATCTCTGGGGAAGCAGTCAACAAATGTTGAGTGCTGACTGTGCCAACCTCCTGCCACCTGATGCTGGAGGCACAGGTGCCACCCCTCCCCTAGGGGAGCTCCGCCTGGTAGGAGGGTAAGGATTCATACATGGACAGTCATGATTTCAAGGGATCTGAGGACAAGGGGGCCATGGAATCTGCTGAGCTCTCTACTCTGCACTCTTCCCCAGGATCATCTCATCCTCTCCTAGGAAGAGTCAGGCAATAACTTATCCACACACCACTCCCATGCTCCAGATATGGACAGACAACTGCCTCCTCAACTGGATGACACTAAGGCAATTCTCATCTTCAAAATCTATACCAGGTCCTGAATCCCAAGCGCTAGAAAGCAGGGATTCCCCGGTCCAGCCAGGTGCTGTCCTTGGTGCTGAATCCCACACCCTCTAACAGCCAGTACTCCAGTGTCCTCGTGTTCTTAGTGCTGAACTAAATTATAGGCGCTGAACTGTGTTCTCAGAGCCCCATATTTCCTTTATGCATCCAGGACGCTGGCCATAGTTCTGATTCCTTACCATCACACCTTTAAGCTTCTCCTACGTCTGCCCATCTGCTGCCTGGACTCGTGAACTCCCAGAGTTGCCCGTGAATGAGACGCGTCATGTGCCCAAGCCCCTCCTCTGTCCTCTTACCACATCCTTTGTGCAGGTCCATGCTAATGAACTCGAGGTTCCCCTCGTGTGGGCTCCTGCTGCCTTCTGTGTAGGCCACGTGTCTGCCACTTGGGCAATAGCGGAAGGAGAATCCGTAGCCTACCAGGGTCATCTGTGGACATGGAGAGAAGCCATACAGATTGGTAGTTAGGAGCAGACTCTAGAGTCAGAGATTCCAGGAGTCGGTAAATATGAAGCGACACATCCACTGTAGATAGTTTTAATTTCTAAAACGAGCCACGCTCACAGCAAAAATGCCAAATACCACAGAATGGTCTAAAGTGAAGAGAACCCAAACCAACGTCCACATTTCCCCCAGAAGTGACCACTAATGACAGATTCTCAGGCATTATTCCAAATCATTCTTTAAATAACCAGGTATACCAGGAGGCTCTTGTTTCCACAGAGGCATCGCCTGGCCTCCTGCTGGGCACCCCGTTTCTGCACTTTAGCAGTGGCCCAGGACACAGAGTCTGGAGCTGGACACCCTGGGTTCAACACCAGCTCAGCCCTGTGGTGCAGCCTTGGGTGAGTCATGAAACTTCTCTGTGCTTTCATTTCTCCATTTGCAAAGTGATGAAGACAGTTCCTTCCTCAACACGTTGTTAGAAAGCTTACCTGGCTTTAAAACAAACGTGTTCATTTGCCAGCTACACAGAATTAACCACATCTTTTCTGTGGCTGCCTTTTGTTCTACCATGCAGATCACGGATCTGTTGGTTTGACCATGCAGGACCTACACCCACTTCTGCTCAGCTGGTGATAGTCAATTTTATGTGCTGTTTTTTTGGTACTAGGGATTGAACCCACACCCTCATGCTCTACATCAGTGCTCTACCACTGAGCTACATCCCCTGCCCTTTTAAAAATTTTATTCTGAGACAGGGTCTCATTAAGTCACTAAGTTGCTCAGGCTGGCCTCCAACTCGTGATCCTCCTGTCTCAGCTTCCTGAGTAGCTGGGATTCAGACATGTACCACCACATGTGGCTTATGTGCTAACGTAACAGAGTCATACGGTGCCTGAATATTTGACCAAATATTTTTCTGGTGTGTCTGAGTGTATTTCTGGATGAAATTAACAACTGAATCCACAGACTGTGTAAAGCAGAGAGCGCTCTCTCATGGGGGTGGGCCTCATCCAATCCACGGAAGACGGAACAGAAATAAAGCTGAGTTAACAGGGCTCCTCCTGCCTGTCTGCATGAGTGTGCTTGTCATTACTGCCTGCTGACTTGAACTGAAACACTGGCTATTCTTGGGTCTCAAGGCCGCTGGCATTCGACTGGGACTACATTAGCTTTCCTGGTCTCCAGCTTGTGAACCGAAGACCTTGGGACTGCTCAGCCTCCATAAGCACAAGCCAGTTCCTTATGATAATTCTCTCCACACACACAGGCACACCCACACAAACACAGGCACACATTTGGTTTTGTTTTTCTAAAGGATCTGATTAATGCAGTTCTTGGATGTCTCCCGGGACTGCCCTTCCCCTGCTCACACTCCACATAATTTAGATGGGGCTCACTGCTCATCCTGGGGTTGCTAAGCTTTAGCAATAGGAACCTGCAGTGAATGTATCTGCCTGACAACGAGCACTGCAAAAGCAAGCAGAACCTAGAGGTAGAAGAGCCAGATTCCCAACGAAGAGCTTGAATGCCTAGATCCAGCTATGCCGAGAGACATGTCCTGGATTCTGCCATTCCATGCACCAAAAAATTGCACACACAGAAGCCTATTAGTATTATTATTGTTTAAGAATGTTGTTTCATCATTTAAAACTGAGAAAGTCCATTAAATTTACTTCAAAATATAATTTAATTAGCATTCTACTGGGACTATATACACACATATCAAGGCATTTCCCTTTATGGTTATAATCCACAACCAACACTGTCAAAAACATCTGGTGTATGTATTTTTCTTTTTTTTGAGACAGGGTCTCACTATGTCATGTAGGCTGGCCTTGCACTCACTGCCTTCCATCCTTACCAGCATTATATATTATCATTTTTAACTCTGTCCCTCCAAATGGTGAAAAATACTACCTTGTTTTAATTTCCATTTCTAGGGAAGCTGAGTGTCTTGTCATATAATTAACCTGTGGATTTCTTTTTTTTTTTTTTCTGGTACTGGGTATCCAACTCATGATCTCGTGCTTGCCAGGCAGGCACTGTGCCACTGAGCTAAATCCCTAGCCCCAGATTTCTTTTTTAATGAACTGTTTTCCCTAACCTTTGTCCATGTTTCTAGTAATTTACCTCTCCTTATTTATTCAAAGGAGCTATTTACATATGGCAGACCATAATCTTTTGTTTGCTGTGAGCACTGTGAAATGAATGGAGATTTGGGGATAGATGAGAACCCTCAGGGACCTTACAGAGTGGTGCAGAACCAGGCTCTTACTTGGCTCAGATCCTCTGGATTCACGAAGATATTCTCTGCTGTCAGGTTTCCATGAACATACTCATTTTCATGGAGGAATTCCAGGGCATCCAGCTGGGGAAAGAAGCAAGCAAGCACCTCTGAGTGGCAGTTTCTGTCAAATAAAAGCATTACCATTTGTTCTTATTCACCAGATTCTTAACCACCGGATCTAGTACCATGATACTCCTGGCTCTGCCCCGAAGTCAAAACGGCCACAAAAGCTAAATGTTTTCATTCGATTCAGGGCACAGGTGCAGCCAAGACAGTGCAATTAAAGACATTCATGAAAGCAGACTTCCAGAATTGTTTCAGAAAGTGGAAAGAACACTGGGATAAGTGTATTTGAAGTAAATAAGAATATCTTGAGGTAGATTAATGGCAAAGTGTCTTTGCTGTATGTTTCTTTTTAAAAGACTGTATATTCACTATTCTTTTTGTTTTTTAAATCTGAGTAGTATTTGGCTTGCTGTCTACCTCCTCTTTCTTCTCACTGATTGCAACTCAGGAGGATAAGAAGGCGCCGCCTAAAGCCCCTCTGCCTAAGTAACCCCGCACTCATGTACACCAAGGCTGTTTTCACTCCTCCCAGAGAACTTAGTTAAGCAACCTGTATTTTCTAACTTCTCCACTCAGCTCCAGGCTCTGACCCTCAGCTTGGTGAACATCCCCAAGCCCCTCCCTGGCCTCAAGGTAACTGTCCCTCACGTCTGCTCGCTTTACTCGGATGACCTCTCCACCCTCTCCGCCCTCTCCCGGGTGGATGCCAACCAGCCTCACCTGCCCCTCTGCGTCCCTCTTTCTCGCGCTGGCCCTTCTTCTCCCACCTCCCTGGCTCCCTGAACCCTCAGGTCGGAGCCCCAGCTCCTCCTGCATCACTGAGCGTAAGAGGCCCGCGGGCTCACTTAAGGTGTTGCACCCTTGCTGCTTCTATCTGGTTGTTTGACCTGGCTGCTCTCATTCTCCGCCAGAGCAGGGGACACTTCTCTGAGCACTGGTCACAATATGCACAACTACTTTATTTTCTTTTCTTTTTTTTTGTTTTTTTTTTTGTTTTTCTCCGGTACCGGGAACCGAACTCACGACCTTGCGCTTGCCAGGCAGGCGCTTTTGCCGCTGAGCTAAATCCCCAGCCCCTACTTTGTTTTATTTTCTAGTACTGGGGACTGAATCCAGGGCATACACATTGAGCTACATCCCTAGTCTTTTTTAATTTTCATTTTTTAATTTTAGGACTGGATTTCATGAAGTCACTAAGCTGCCCAGGCTGGGCTTGAACTTGCAGCCTCCTGCCTCAGCCTCTAGAAGTGAGTGCTGGGACTAGGGGTGTGCAGCACCATACCCAGCTGTGCAACTATTTCATAGCATTCTCTCCCACCAGACTGTGAGCTCCAACATACGAGGCTTTGGCCAGGTAATCCTAGCACTCAGGAGGCTGAGGCAGGAGGATCACTGTGAGTTTCAGGCCAGCCTGGGCTACATGGTGAGTTCAAGGAAATCCTGGGCCATATAGTGAGACCCTGTCTCAACTGCTGCTGCCCGAAAACACCATGAAGCCTGTGTCTATGGTGCTCCCTCATCTCCCCACAGCCCTGGGACAGAGCTCAGCACCCAGCGTGTTACTTGACCAACAATGAGGAGTGAATGAACGATTCACTAGCAAACAAGCCTCACACACTAGCAAACGAGCCTTGCCTCAGCTCGTATCCTTGGCATGGAATGTTTGTGTCCACCCCCACTTAGCAGTGGTGCCCCAGCACCTTGCTATTTCCCATTCAGCCTGAGTCCTGGCTTAGAATCCACCTCTCCTAAGAAGCCCTGTGCACCCTCAAGTTGAGGCTGGGGCCCCGACTGCAGTCCGCTCCCATCCATTCTGGTCTGCTGTGCTGGGTGCTGGATGCATCAGTGAGCCAAAAGCCTGAGAAACTAGGACCCTGCGAGCCAGCCCTGCAATGCTGAGTAGGTCCTAGTACGTACCAGCCGGCAGGCCACCTGGAACACGCACTTCTCTGAGGTCACATGCTTCGGTCTCGTATCCAGGGCCGACTGCAGACTCCTCCCCAGTCTGGGAAACACCAAGAACCTGGAAGACATGGGCATCCTAGGAGGTGCAGACGCGTGGGGAGGAATGCGGTTCTGAGGGAGACTGTGGCGGGGGAGCACCAAGGTCCCAGCACCGGGGGATGGTAAAGGCTCTGCCTGGCCGGACACAGCCTGGCTCAAAACAAGGGGAAGGAGGTGGCAGCTGACTGGCCAGTGGCTCTGGGGCTGCAGCTGGACCCAGGCACGGGACAGGGAGAGAAGGAAAGGGTGCTGGAGCGGGTGACAAGTGAGACGGCTCACCTGTACTTGTCCTGGTGAACGCCAAAACCTATACAGGCGGGGATGGCCAGGAGTGGGGTCGAGGACAGCTTCTTCCACTTGTTCACTGAGGGAGACGGGCTCAACTCAGAGCCTGGCATGGGCCAGGCCTGTGGGGCAGTGGCCGGCTCTCAGGCAGGGAACACACCAGAGCCCAGAACAAACCCTGCGTCTCCTTGTTGGAGACGACATCTTTGTGGGCGGTGACAGTGAGAGAGGGCAGGGACAGGGTGGGTGTGGGTGACCCCCAGGTGTCTGTAATCCGTGCCTGAAGGTGCAGAGGTGAACACAGGTGAGTTCTGAGGAACATACACATTTGGAGTGAACAGAAGGGACAAGAACAGCAGAGGAATCTCTGCGTCCACATGTATAGGTAAAGAGATCAACACGGGTGGAAACCGGCCCTGCTGCACGGAATCTGCCTCTGGCTGTCTGCTAGGGACCCTGCGGGCTGTTATGAAACCACTGTGCTGACACAGCATAACAGCTGCCTGCGCGGAGGAAAGCCAGCCCAGACTGACACTTCCGCCAGTTTCTGTGGCATAAGCACTTCCTGGCACAGCCAGTTTCAAGCCACCAATGTGATGTGACTGGTACGGGCTTCGAGAGAGGCCCAGTACTCACCCCTGTGCCAACAACTTCACCATCCGGATACCAGGGGTGTAAATAACCACAAGAGTTACCGGCAATGGCACACGCAAAAATGAACGAGGAAACGAAGAGGTTTTGAGTGTTTATTATCTTTGTGTTGAATATAACTAAGTTACATAACTTAATTTTTAATATCTTGGCTGCATAGAACAACCAGCTTGGAGCACTCCTGAAAATGTACAACTTGGCTCATAAGAGCTGGTCTGGCCAGCCCCACCCTGTCTCCCGAGGCCCCTGGGTGACAGGAGTCGGCTGTGGGCACAGACGGGATTCACACGTGGGTCTGAGTCCCCACGCTGTCCATGCCAGCAGGGAGAAGCGAGCTACCGAGTGCAAGCTGGTACCCCAACACACTCCTCCACCCCTTTCCTGCAGAATACCTTGCAGAGGCTTGGCAGCCCGCTGGAAGAAGTTCTGCTCATTGAATAGGCGCCCATCTTTGGCATCCTGGAGGACACAGGAGAGCAGGGGCTGTTACATTCAAATCCCTTACACAAGAGCCCCGTTCCTCCACGACCCCAGGGTTTTTCAAATCCCTGCATTAGGACCAAACTCCTCAGGGTGCTGCACATGAGCACTATCCGACACTGCAAGCCATCTTCCAGTTCATATGCATTTTTATGACAGGATCCACAAAGTTTTCTTAGACAGGCAGCCTTCACATAAAAACTACATTTCCCAGCATCCTTTGCGAAATGAGGCTGATCACGTGACTAAGTGCTAGCCAATGAGAACACGAGCAAAAGAAACGTGGGCAACTTCCAGGTTATGCTCTTAACAGAGGGGGACAGGCTCTCCCTTTCCCTTTCTCCTGCCCCTGTGCCAGACTCATAACTCAGTACTACCTCCTTCTGGGCCTCAGGAAATGCTGATTGGATGGTGTAAGAGAGAGGCTCTGTTTCTGCTTCTCTGTGGCAATGGTAACCACAGTGATAATGGCCAAAGTGCTCACTGTGTACCTGATGCTAACTAAATTCTGCATTAAGTTTAACAGGGGCCTGGTGGTGATCCCACATGCTGCGAGCGGGTGGAGCTGGAAATTGGTCATACGAGTGAGGGCAGGACAGACCCAGGGTGCCTCAAGCAGGACAGACCCAAGCTACCTCAGTCTTGAGAAAAACATCCTGCCTGGACAATTTCAGTCATTAGTTACTAGGCAACCTTGCCTCTCCTGATACTAACTTTGCAAGGGCATAAGTAAATGCCCCTACTATTGTTGTTCAGTCCTCCAGCGTAAAGAGGTAGCCTCCACCTGACCCAGCTTTTGTCTCCTGTCTTTATTTGCCTCACACCCCAAGATCCAACACAGTAGGTGCTCAATAGATACATGCTATGCACGAGGCAGACCATAGCTGCAGGAGGGTCACATGATGCACATGTTCTGAATTCTTCATTGCTGAGGAAACTCAAAAGCTGAGAGGGGATGTCCCTGTTTGGTGACATGGCGCAGGGGTACGTCTGGCCACGGGTTTCCCACAGCCCCGCAAGAGGAGGAACAGGGACCCTGCCCTTCTCAGGGTCCCACTCCCAACAACCATGGACATCCCAAGTTCTCCTAGTTCACAGAGGGGCTCAGAGATTCACAAACGCATCTGCAAAGCCCCAGGTTCCCTGCTCAGGGCTACTCACCAATTTGAGGGAGAACTGGTGTTGCTGAGAGCTTGACTCACAGGGGAGGGCAGAGGCAGGCTCAGCTACGGAGGAACAGAAACAGATGATCAAGGTCATGACCCAAGAGTTCATGGTCATGGTCCACAAAGTTCCTAGCAGTGAGAAGCGGTTCCCGTTCCCTGGTTCCCGCAGACAAGCACATTCTTGGTATGCAGAACCTGCTCCTTTCTATTTTTGAAGAGGCCCTTCTCTTCCTCTTCCTTTGTGGCCATCTAGCTGGGCACAGGATAGAGTTAACACTGCAGGCCCGAGATTGTCCTCTAAGGCTGAGAATCAGGGCTTTGGGATGTGGATTTTGAAAGGAAGGGTCCCCAGCATTTCCTCATGATGCAAGGCGCTTGCTGGGTCTACACCAACACACCTGCTGTCCTTCTGGACCCAGGGTTTAGCTACACATTAGGCCGAGTTGGCCAGAGAACCAGTCCCCATAACAATCTGGGACCCTGCACCTCTTGACAGTCTTCCCTGGAGATGACAATCCCCATGTGTTACCACAATCTGTGGCTGGGAGAGGTAGGTGCATACTCAACGTCACATCCTGAGCAACCCACATCCAATTCACGATCAAGAGGGACATACAAGCACAGCCCTCTGGCCCGCACAGAACTATGCCGAGGCTGTTTTGCTCCAGAGCCCACTGACCGTGAATCTGAGTGGGTGAATCTCTTTTCTCAAGGGCGGAGGCCTCATGGCACCTGACTGCCTCTTCCAGGCACCCGATTACCTCTTATGAGCTCCCCATAGGGATAATATTCAACATGAGTTTTGTTGGGGACATTCAGACCTTACTGGAGGTACTGGATTTATTTTGGGGGTGATGGAAATGTTCTGGAATTAGGACAGTAGTGGTGGTTGTGTGATACTGTAAATATACTAAAAGCCACTGGATAGTACACTTTAAAATAATGACTTTTATGTTATATGTTATCTCAGTTTAAAAATTGCCAACAAAATACCTACACAAAAGAGTGCCTGGCCCTGTGCAAGCACTGAATCAATGTTAAGTACTGCTGACACTGAGATTGCTGCCGTTGTTATTTCCCTCACTGCCACAGAGTGGGATTCCATTATTTGAGGTTTGACTACTCAGCTTCTAAGCCCTGCTTCTTGCCCACACCCCTCCAGTCCCACATCTGGCCAAGGATGGAAGAGCCATTCTCTTCCCTCCCTTCTTTCTTTTGTAGCTGGGGACTGAACCCAGGGCCTTCACACTAAGCTGCATCTTGTCTCTTTTATTTTTTTTTACTTAAAGAAAGTGCCTCTGTTAAGTTGCTAAGTTGCTCTGGCTGTGCTGGAACTTGCAATCCTCCAGCTTTGAGCCCCCCAGAGTGCTAGGATTATAGGCATGTGTCACCGTGCTCAGCAAGCTGGTGGAAGATTCACACCCTGGGTGGGAGGCACTGGCCTGTGTGTGGAAAACCTCACCTGCCGACACCATGAAACCAAGGCTGGGCTCCTTCCCTGCTCCTTCAAGCACTCTGGACATGTGGGAGGCCCAGCCTGCTCTTCACTGAGACCCGAATTAAGGAAGCCACAAATCTGTCATATCCTCTTGGCTCGTGGGCCCTGTTGTCATTCTCAATATCTGTTGTGGTTGCATCATTGTGTCAACTTGCGAAGTCTAGAAGCTTAACTAATTAGTAACTCAGCAGTTCTCATCCTAGGGTGTAGAGGACATGCCCTTACCACTCTAGGATGTTGTTCACTGTGTCAACTTGAGAAGTTTAGAAGTTTAAAGGCCGGGCGTGGTGGCGCATGTCTGTAATCCCAGCACTCAGGAGGCTGAGGTAGGAGGATTGTTGTTGCAAGTTCGAGACCAGCCTGGGCTACAAAGTGAGCTCAAGGCCAGCCTGAACTGCATAGCGAGACCCGGTCTCAAAAAAGGAAAAAAAAAAAAAAAAAAGTTTAACTAAGTGATTTAGTAGGGGGGCAGGGTCCTTACTTTGTAAACAGCCTGAGCCTATGGAAAGGGAGGGCACAGTAACAGTGTGGGTGCTATACTCACCCAAGGGCAGGCAGCCTGCCTACAATATACAGGAGGAAAAGCGACTTGCTCTCCCCTCTTTTGCTCTTGTTGCTTTTGCTGTCTCCCGCCTCCTTGAAGTGTTGCCCCTGGGCCCTGCCACCCTGCCTTGGAGCCAGCTGATGGCCTGAAACTTTCACAAGCTGTGAGCTAAATAAACCTTTCCTTCCTTAGTTTTGGGCATTAGGTATTTTGTCTCAGCAACATGAGAACAGTTAACACAACATCTGACCCAGTTTTGGGTGGGGTCCACGCTGTCCCTGCAGGCCGGCCAGGATAGTCCTTCTCTTGTGGCCCCCTGGCCTGCACTCCCAGCAGCCACCATGGGTGGAGTGAGTGCTTTGCAATGGGCCAGGTGCACGACCCTCCCCGGCCACCCTCCTCCAGCCTGCAAACTCACAGGACCTGCCCAGCCCCTGCAGGTGGGTCAGTTTACAGTCTGGGCCTTTGAGACTGCCAGAGGCAGGTCTACAGCGACCAGCGTGGCCTCCATCCCCACCCTCAGGAAGGGTCACTGCCCTGGGCCACCCTGGCTGCCTGGGCACAGCACCTTCATAGAGAATGCCTTGGTCGTCCCTGGTCTGCAGGGATCCCAGCCTCCAGCGCTGCCCGTTCTTGTCCGTCAGTTCTGTCCCTGAGGGCAAAGCCTCAAGCAAGGTGGTTGCCCGGCTCCGTTTCAGCGTCTGAGGGCTTCGCCTGGTGGACTGTGGGCTGCTTCTGGGGGAAGGGGGTCCACTCCTGGCCCCTGCAGGAGGAGGGTTGCAGTAAAGGAAAGGCAGCATCCAGGAGAGGATAGTTCGATGGGGAGTGGAACAACACTCATGCTGACTTTTTCTTGCAGTCAGCAAACGCTTCCCGGACTGCCTTGGGCAAGGTCCTCTGTGTGATGACCCTGGTCACGTCCCTCGGGAGCTCCCAGTGTGGTGGGGGAGTCTGACCTAGTTAGCCTGCATAGAGGGACATCAGGGCCAGAGGAGAAAGTGACTGTCTGAAGGTCAAGGGAGGCTTCCTGGAGGAGGGGATGTTAGTGTTCAGTCTTGTTGGATGAGTTTTGCTAGAGGAAAACAAAGGGGAAAGGCCACCAGACATTAACCTGAAAACACCACACACAGCAGGGCTCAGCCCTGTGCCGAGTATGTGTCAGATGGAGATGCGGCCCTTGAAGGGGCTGACAAGAGAGTGAGGTGGTGTGGTAGGAGCAGGAAATGGCAATAGCACCCACCTCACTCCTCCCAACCACCATTTCCCCAAGGCACCCCAGGGTAACCAGGAGCAAGGAGGCACTCAGGGCTCAGTGGGCAGGAGATAGGCAAACGGTCTTCAGCCTCTGGTGTCCTGGCACTGGCTGGGACAAGACGGGCAAGGCACACCCAGCCCCTATCTGCAAAGCATGTGCAGGACAGGAGTGAGGCTGGAGAGAGGCTTTGGGGATGACAAGGAGGCCTAGGCGAGGGCCCTGGGTGCTCAGGCGAGGGTTCCTAGAGGTGCGAGCCTCCTAGTATTGGAAATAGGCACAGGCCAGGAATAAGAGGAGATGATAGGGCCAAGGGAACAGACTCAGCAAAGCCCAGAGGTTGAGAGTCTCGCAACAGCTGGGCATGGTGGCACACGCCTGTAATCCCGGCACCCAGGAGGACTGCTTCGAGTTCGAGGCCAGCCTGGGCTACAAAGTGAGTTCAAGGCCAGCCTGAACTGCATAGTGAAACCATCTCAAAAAGACAAAAAAAAAAAAGAAAGTCCCCCAAAGCGAGTCTCATGTACACAGGAACACGGGCTGTCCAGACGCCAGCTGACAGCAGGACAGTGGGGGATGGGAACGTAGGGCTGGGAGGAGGAAGCGCCAGGGCAGCACTGTCTGTGCGTAGGCCCCTGGGGACCATGTGGAGATGGCCTGGAGGGGAGACCAGGCTGGGGAAGGTGCTGCGAGGGGTCCAGGCAGGGGTGGATGCCAGCTGGGGCTCTGGAAGCTCTGTCTCAAATGTCAGAGAAGCCATCCTTGCCTATCTAGGTCAGATCCACCCCAACTCTGACCTTTGGGTTTCTCAGAAGAACTCACGGCATCTTCAGACTCAGCATTGCGACCATCACAGAGGAGGGATGACTGGGAAGAGATGACAATGTTTGACCATTTCACTCTCTTGGGAGAGATTTCAGAACTGCAGTTACTCTCTCTCTTTGAGCCTGAAGAAAGAGAACAAGAAGGCAGATGGGAGTTACAAGGCCCTTCTCAGCAAGGCTCACTTCTTCCGCTACCAGCTACCAACAAGTAGTTCCTTTCTTTTAGATCTTTTCTCCTCCATGGGCCTTAGTGTGCCTCCCCCCTCATGATGCTAGAGATGGCCCAGGCCTTCACATTGAGCTTTATTCCCAGTTCTTTTTTATTTTTATTTTCAGATAAGATCTTACTCAGTTGCCTAGACTGGGCTCAAACTCACAATCATCCTACCTTAGCCTCCCAGAATGCTAGCTTCTCTTTTATATCCTCCACCATTTTGCCCTCTGTGCTTTTGTCTAAGTTTAAATTCTCCAAATCTATCTTCCAGTTCACTAATTTTCCCTGCAGCTATGTCTACTTAGCCATTTCTCTACACACATATATTAAAGAAGTTTTATTTGGTTCCTCTTCAAATCTGCCTGGTTAATACTAGCTCACTTCATTATACTGCCAATTTATTGTTATTTCTTTAAACATATTAAATATGCTTTGTGAATATTTGCATCTGATAATGCTAAGGTCTGTGGTCTTGGCAGTGCGATTCTGTAGTCTGTTGTTTCTGTTGACCTGTTTCCTGATATCTCTGTGAACTGACAAAGACACAATCGTATCCTTTCAGCTGTCACTAACTCCACCAGCATGACTGGCCCCTGGAGTTTTGGGACAGCTGTCTAACTTCAGGCTATTTCACATAACACACAGGCAGACAGCCTCTGCAAATGCAAATCATACTGTGTCATCTACTTGGCAGAAACTTCCACAGCTCTCCAGCCGTTTGCCTGGTCCCCCAGTCTCTATTGTCTTGCCAGTTCTTACCTCGAAAGGATGACACAAGTGGTCTGACAGAGGTTGGGGACTTTGCATGCTCCTCTGTAGGCAAAGGTTTTCCACAGTAGGGGCAGAATTTGAAAGCTGCTTCAATATTTTTGCCACACTCTGGACAGAAGGAGATCATGCTATAAAATGGAAATAAAGGGGATACAGGAAACTGAAAGAAAAACTGAATCTAGCTGGTAAGTAGCCCTCCAAGTTCCCCATGGGAATGAGCTGAGCAAGGGACAGAAGTCAGCACCACCTAAATACATGCCCCAGTGTGGGCGCTTTTGAAATGAGTCCCGGCCCATTGCACTGGGCCTCCAACCACCTGTCCCTAATGGCGCAGGTACAAAGCAGAACAAACCCCAAATGAAGCAGCAGAACTCAGAGAAGCTGTGGGAAACTTGAGGTCAAGTAGAGTTATGGCAGAAAACTGTTCACATCAGAATAAGCATGGAGGAGGTGTTGCCAGGGTCTCTGAGATGGTGTCCAAGATGCTCATTTCGTAAACCACATGTTGGAGACTGGAGAAACAGTGGATGCTCCACAAATATCCACATGGTCCTCCATGTTTCCCAGCTTTCTTTGTAGCAAGGCTGGGCCCAGATGACTAGTTCTGGGCAGTAGGTTTGGGTAGAAGTGATTTCCTGGCTAGAATATCTCCTCCATCTACCTTTCACCTGTAGGAATGGTCATGGAGGCAATGAGCCCCAGGCAACCTAGCCACACAATGAAGAGGGAGTGCCCAGTCCACACTAGGATCCTAGGATCAATAAAGGCACTTATGGTGTATGAAGCCACCAAGATTTCAGGACTTGTTATTGCAGCACAGCTTATCCTATCCTAACTAACTGAAGTGAAGAAGTGCTCAATACAGTATTCACTATGCTTTGCGTATCACTGAAATATTTGCTGGTACTTCTTGAAAATTAAAAACAAAATCACACACAGACCCCACAACAAATGGAGATTGGGTCAGTTAGTAAGTGAGGAAAAGAAATTTAGCAAGGATGATAGTACAGAGGGTACTTCAAGTGAAAATCTTTAACAAAGAAGAGGTGGAAACGAAGAAAAAAAGAGGGATTTTATTCATATATTCTGAGACTTAGTGTATGGTATCAATCAAAAATTGGAATATTGAAATAGAAGTTAAAATAAACGCATCCATGATTTCATTATCTTGGGCTATGCCCAGGATAAGTGTTCTCCCCACAGTGGTACTCCTGAGAGGTAGTGGACTTTTAGGAGGTGACATCTTGTGGGAGGCCCTTAGGTCATTGGGGTGTGGCCTGTGAGGGACCATGGGACCCCAGCCTCTTCCTTTTTCTCTTTGCTTCCTGCCTGGTGATGTTCACAGCTTAGCTCTGCCACACATACCCTGCCACTGCCATCCGGCACCCCAACTGGAAGCCCACAGCAACAGGGCCATTCACTTGCAGATCTGTGAGCTAAGTAAACCTTTTTAGAATAAGCCAATTACCCTGGTATTTTGTAATGGTGACTTCAAGCTGACTTATGCACCTTGCAAGAAAAAGTTCTAATTAAACTCTCTTTATTTACAGTCAAGATTGGTCTCTACTGCAAATGCTGAAAGTGGAATCCTTAAAATCACAGGCTTTGGTCCTGTAAGGGATGGCGACTCTTAACATTTGATTCTTAAATTAAAGTAGTCTTAGTCTTAGTACAAGCCTCAAATGTGTCTTGAGAAGCATCCCAGAGGGTTAACTTTGCCCTGGGATGTTTCCTTAAGGACAGAGAACACCTGGGCCCAGATAACCACCTATGACCTTGCCTGGGTTGTTGCATCCCTTCCCTGGCCCTAGATAAAAATTATAACCATAAAGGAAATGTATGGTTATCTAAAGGGGAACACACAGAACAGAGTGCAGAAAGTATATCATTGTGGTTGGGCTCATGACCTGGGTCTGACCCAGTCACACACGACAAGAAAAACGTGTGGCCACCTGTGTCAATGGCTACAACATTCCAATGGGTTACCACAGAAACCAAAGGTGTATTTACAGTTGAAACAAAGAAAGGCCATCACTGACATCCCCTGACCTGCTAGTAAGGGATGTACGGTGACCAGTCTAAATTCAATAAATTCTGTTTTTCCCTAAAATTGAATCCTTCGGTCTTCTGTGGAAATCAGTTCATCTGCCACTACAGTCCCAGGCTAACAGGATCTGAATTTCCAGCTTGCTGTGTGCTGGGAAATTATTTAACCTCTCTGTGCCCACATACAGAATGGCTGATGAGGTCAGGTGAACACACTTACTTTAAGGGCTGAGACAGGACCTGGCCACAGACAGCTTTCTTCGCTTTTTTTTTTTAAGCTTCTTACATTCTTTCTTCTGTTGTTCCTTTCCTTCTTCCATTCTCTTTTTTGTGGTGCTGGAGATGAAACTATGGGCCTCGCTGTGCTAGGCAAGTCCTCTACCCACTCCCCAGGGAGCTTCTTATATTAGGGATTGCTACTATTATATCATGCTCATGATCTCATGTACTATACTCTATTTGTTCATATTTCTGTTTTTCCCTTTATTTTTTCCATATTGTAACTTCAGGGCTTTTGGGGGCCTGTTTCCTCTTGGTGCTCACTTACAGAATTCCAGAGCAAGTTCTTAGAAACCACAGGCTGTCCAAGTAGCTGGTGAAAAGAACCTCAGCCAGAGGAGGAGAAAAGGGTTCCTCTTTCTACCAGGCTATAGGGCTGAGGATATAACTCAGTGGCATAAGTGCCTTTCTGGCCTGATAAGCATGAAGTCATGAGTTCGATTAGCGGTACAAAAAGAAAAAAAAAAGTCAATGGAAGAGCAACTAAAATAGACTGTCTTCTACCAGGCTATAGAAGAGCACAATCCAAGCTCTAGCATCACACTGCCTGTGATGGGTTAACTAATGGGCAACTGTGACTCCCAGCTGAACTCACTCAGTGTGGTGCTGGGTGTGTACGGCCCACCTGAGGACTGCTGTCAATGGCATAAAAGGAGAACTGGAGGGGAAGATGGTGTGCTGTTGATTCTTGAGGAGAAGCCTGTTATGCTGGCTTTCCTGATACGAACTCAGCTGTTCTCATTCTCAGAGAAGCTCAGGTCCTTGCTGTCACTGAGGATGGCTGCAGTTCTCTTTGGGGGAGCTCTGGTCCTTGGGCATCGTTTCCTAGCTCCAGTGCAGATCCCTCAGCCTGCTGGCACAGACCCTTCATCCTGCTGGCACAGACTCTCTAGCTTTCACCACTGACCTTTGGGGACTTCTCAGTGCAGATCCTTGATATAGACTCCCATGAGACACTGTCATGTTCTCCAGGCCTCCAACTGGACTCCTGAGGAAACTGCCATGGGCTCTAGGTCTTCAGCTGGACTCGTGCAGGACGTTGCTGTGGGATCCAGGCCCTCAGCTGGATTCTCTGGGTCTCTAGTGCATCAGATTTTGTGCACTCTTCTGCATTCAACTTTTTGGGTGAACATTATAAAATAGTCCTATAAATTATGTGTCTTATATTAAATCTATGCCCTTGAAAACCCTGACTACAATACTACCCTTCTGGCCAAGTAAGGTGATGTGTGCCTGTAATCCCAGCACTCAGGAGGCTGAGGCAGAAGGATTGTCATGAGTTCAAGGCCAGCGTGCATTACACAGAAAGAGCCTGTCTCAAAAAACCAAACCAAACCAACGAAACAAAAAACTGCCCTTCTGTTATTTCAAAAGATGCCTGTAAAACACCTGGGCTACAAAGACCATTAAGTAGCCTTTACCTACAAGAGGCTTGGAATTCTGACTGGTTGTTTTGGAGACTGACTGTTCATGTGATAACATCTAAAGGGATGTCCCCGGCCAGGTGTGGTGCTACACACCCCTAATACCAGCACTTGGGAGGCTGAAGCAGGGGGATCACTGTGAGTTTGAGGCTAGCTGGGCTACAAAGTTTCAAGGTCATCTTGAAATGCATAATGAGACCCTGTCTCAAAACACAAAAAATAAATAAGTAAATAAATAAATGGACATTCCTGACTTCTCAAAGGTATAAATAGTAGGGAGCATTTGTGTTCAGGGGGCTCACTGCCTCTTTCCCTTTCTCCTGTCAGGCTGTGATAAATCGTAAGCCTAGGTGTTGATCCTGGACCTACAAGATTAAAACTGGATCTAGACGGTCATCCAGATTGAATTAGTAAGAAAGAACTTGTGATTGTGTTACACTATTGAGATTTGGGGGTTGTTTGTTACTGTGGCATAGCCTAGCCAAGCCTGACTAATAATACCCCAAGACTCTGATTGATTTCTTATGTAAACAAAAATCCAGTTTGGAAATCTGTAGTTTTTTTTTGTTTTGTTTTTTTTGTTTTTGTTTTTTTTGAGACAGGGTCTCGCTATGCAGTTCAGGCTGGCCTTGAGCTCACTTTGTAACCCAGGCTGGTCTCAAACTCACAATGATCCTCCTGCTGCAGCCTCCCGAGTGCGGGGATTATAGGTGTGTGCCACCATGTCTGGTCTGTAGTGGTTTTAAGTGGTTCCATGTTAAGTAGATTTTCTCTAGGTGCCACTGCCCTGGGATAAAGATGGCCTTCAGGAAGGAGCAAGCACTAAACCAGGCGAGCCCTGCCAAGCCCACAGTAAGGCTCCTCCTGGGAGGGAAATCTGCCAGCAGCAACCAGGGGTGGGGAGGATAGCAGGATTGGGCTGTGGTGGGGAACAGGCCTTCAGGGACCTGTGCCTGAGGGGATGGTACCTTTATGGGGTCACGGTCTGGTCCTTGGTTTCACTGGGCTGGAAACTCCATCTTGACAGTGCCCTGGAAGTGAACAAGGGTGGAGATACTGACTTGGGCTCATTTTCCAAATAAGTAAAAGGTAAGAGTTCGTGTTTATTAGGCACTGGCCATGTAGCCAGGAAGTGCCATGGCCGTTCAGTCAATAAAGACTTCCTGAGCTCCTGGCTTCTGCCAGGCATGAGACAGGAAACACATGCCGGTGAGGGAAGACACTAATAAATGAGCAAGCGATTGTTGAATAGGTCAGGCAGAGATAGCACTACAGGGACAATAAAATACCCTAGAGGAAAAGGGATGCTACCGAGGTTGGCAGGTCAGTATCAACACAAAGAGGTCAGGGAAGGGATCACTGAGGGAAGTCAGGAAGTAAGATATGGGCATCTGGAGAAGAGGCCTTCAGAAAGAATTTACAGTGCATTACTGATTTACTCCATACCACAGCCCAAGAGGCAGGTTCCAGAGCCACCCTCCCTGGTTCCAGGCATTAAACCAGAGCCTCACTCAGCTAAGCAAGTGCTACACACCTCAGCGGCACGCCCAGCCCTTTCGTAGGAGGGTAGCATCTGTATTTTCCAGAAAGAAGTCAGATGCCACAAAGTAGTTCTAGTCCTGTGTGCTCTGTAGAATGTGGTAATGCCTTTCACCGAGAGGCAGGCTTTGGTGCCTCCCCTCAGGGTCTGGGCAGAGCTTGTGACAGCTCCTACCAATAAAGACGGCTACATTGGCCCCTGTCCCTCCGGGGATATAGCTCAGTGGCACAGCGCCTGCTTGGTAAACGTGAGGTCCTGAGTTCGATTCCCGGTTCAAAAAAAAAAAAAAACAACAAAGAGAAAGGATGGGCAGCAGTGATGTCATAGGACTTCCAAGGCTGTGTCACATGAAGGTTACAACTTGCACTGTGGCTGGCTTCCTCAGGCGCACACCCATGGCCCTGGTTCCACACTATTAGGCAGCCTAAAATAGCCTGGGTGGGGAGACCACATGAAGCAGCCCAGATGGACAAGAACAGGGATCCCCAGGAAACAGCCAGCATCTGCAGCTGAACATGGGAGGAAACAAAGCTCAAGTAATTTAAACTCTGGCCTTGGAATCTTCCAGCTGAGGCTGTGGATGTCATGCAGCAGAAAAACACCAGCCTGTAGTGCTCACTCTGAAATCCTGGCCCACGGGTCACATGAGCTTGATAAATGGCCCTTTCACACCACTGCATTTCGGGGTAATCTACGCCATCACTGGAAAGCACAGAGAAGTCATATCACTTAATTAACAAGAGCTCCCATCTCGAGTTCAAGATGTGCAGATTGTAATCCCTGTAACCACCTTCCAAGAATGACTCTTCCCTTTAAGGAGCTGTGGCAGCAGAGGCTCAGAGAGGGACACAGACTTGCCCAAGGCCTCAAAGCTCCTCCAAGTGGCAGGACCAGAAGGAAAATCACCCCATCCTTGAGGCCCACAAACGGATGCTCAAGGGCCACTCAGCTAGAAAGTGGTGGGACGTGAACTCAAAGCTAAAGCTCATGTTCTTAACCTGGTACCGACTTATAAAATGAAAATGAAGAGCGGGACTGGCTTTGCAGGGCTGCAGATCAGAACATTCTCAAAGATCTGCATCAAGAAGCGGATGCTGCGTGTGGAACCAGGCCAGGAGAGATACTGGGTTTTTAAACTACGGAGCCCTCAGCTCCGACACCCTGCAACCAGCCTCGTCTGGTCCTCCTGTGCTCCTCTGGGCTACGAGTTACCACCTAACTAGATTCTTGCTTCTACCCTCCCTGCTACAGTCTGTTCTCAAAACAGCAATGGGTAGGATCCATTGAAAATCTACATTGGCCCCTGTCCCTCCTCTTTAAACCCTCCAAAGGCTTCCACTCTGAACAGAGTAAAAGCAAAATGTTTACCAAGGTTTATGAAGCGCCACATGATTTGCTATCTCCTCATTCCCTCTCTGGCCATCTCCCCTTGCTCACACTGGCTTCCTTGCCTTTTCCCAAACAAGACCATCACATTTCTGCCCACAGGGCCTGCACATCCCCTTCTGCCTAGAAAGTTCTTCCCCTAGGGCTCATGGCACACTCCCTCATCACTTCACCTACATTTCTGTTCAAACACCACCTCCTCAGCAAGAACTTCTTTGACGTGCTTTATTGGCAGGGTATTCTCCTCCTTACCCCACTTTATCTTTCTCCAACGTGCCTGTTGTCCCCAGACAAACTTGCTGCTGACTCCTCTAGCTAGACTGGAAGCTTCCAGATGGCAGAGACTTTAGTCAGCCTTGTTCACCAGTGCCCAAAGCTTCGATCAAGCCTAGCACAGCGCAAAGAGTTGATAGTGAATAGATGGATTATCTCCTCCACAGAAAGAAACCTGCCAAGAAGGCAGGAGAGGCCCCCAGCATGTCAGCACATTTTCACCCTGCAGGCAAGCCTAGACAGCAAGCCAGAGACCAAAAGCTCAGAGACAGAATTACTTAGCTGGCTGCATAATCTCCAAAGAGTTTTTCTGCTTCAAAAGAGAAAGATGTAGTGGTTAAGACCATGAACTTGGCTGGGTTTGAATCCTGCTTCTGCCGCTTACTGGTGGAGGCTTTTTTTTTTTTTTCTTGTTGTGGTGCCGGGGATTAAATGCAGGGGATTAAATTTAGGCACGCTCGACAGTGGTCCACCACCAAGCTATCCCATAACACTCCCCCCAGAAAGAATTTTAACACCTCTGTGCCTGTTTTTGCATTTGTAAGTTGAGAACAAATGGGCATTTACTCTTGGATTCTGAAGTTTATAGCGCCAACCCATAGTGTGCTCTTGAGCAGCATTAACTATTCTAATGATTCTGTTCCATTCATTTCTAACCAAGTGGCCCAGGGCCAGGTGATTCCAAGCCCAAGACATCTGCCCCTGCATTCCCTCCACCAGAAATGCTCTTCCCACACTTCCTCTGTGACTACTTTGCTTTTTATTCTTCAGGCCTCAGCTCAAAGAGTTCTTCCCTCACCACCTTATATAAACTGCAACTCCCATCCCCAATTCTCTTCTCTCTCCCTTTTCCTTATTTTTCTTTAGCACTTAAGGCCATCTAATATAGGTTCAAAATTTCTTATTATAATCACCTGCCGCCAGGTGTGTCTCAACAGCCAGAATTTTGAATATTTGCAAGATGTTTTAGAATTTATACTACACTATACATAATCACTGGCAGGACAAAGGAGTGTGATTTGTGCAGCAAAATCTTTGAAGATGATAAGTAGATTTATGCTAGATCAGATCGGGTGTTACCAGCAAAGGCATTCAAAGTTAGGTCCAGGTGAGATACCAGAAGAGTTGCAAGGCAGGAAAAAAACTTACTTTGCCCACTTTTTTGGGTTTTAAAGTAGGTAAGGTAATAATATAACACTGAGTGTTAACTCTGCATGGTTTTTGTTTTTTTAAACTTGAAGTATCTGCTCTCTCATAGCTGTGAGTTTCAAATGGCAAAAAAGAAAAGCATCTTTTCTATAACTGTGATGACGGCATGGCATGTTTATGACTCTGGTTTCTTTCTGTTCTGGTGGCTTTAGACCATTACCGTTAACATTATTTTAACTTGGCACGTGTAACACTGCCACGTAGAGTAAAACACAAAGTTGCAAAATTTGGTAGCTTAGGGTTAAACACTAAACATATTCAAAGTCCATTCAGAATTCTATGTGTTGTATTTTGCCATTTTTGTGATGTGGCCTTTTATTTTGTAGTATCTCTTCTGAATAACATTCAACATCCAGCAAACACAAAACTTGCCTCATTTTAAAAGAAATTTCAAAATTCCAATCAATAGTGGACTCTAGAGTTCTGTATTTTAATATCTGTCAGTACAGTATTCACTCTCTTACCAAGGTAGATTCTTGATAACTCCATTAGCTACACAGTGCTACTTGTACCGAATAAAGTGATGCTTAGCATAATACTTCCCATTACTGACTAATTTTTTTTGGTACAGGGAACCGAAGTCATGACCTTGCGCTTGCCAGGCAGGCGCTGTGCCGCTGAGCTAAATCCCCAGCCCCCAAATATAATAATCATTTGGCACTGTAGCTGTTGCAGAATCGTGTAATGGTTATAAGTCTGTTTGAAATATCTTGAAACAAACATCCAGAGTGTATTTTTCCACATTTTATATCCTAGTGGTAAAAGTAGTAAATGTTCATTATTATTTGGGGTGATTCCTTTGGAACTGACCACAGACCCACATTAAGAATTATTGGGTCTGAGTATCCAAGCTCTATGATGGTATAAATTGTCTTAAAAATTCAGTGAACTATGTTTTAAAATCTGTCAAGATTATTTGAGCTTCAAGACAGGTACTATTTAAGAAAGAATTTCTTAAAT